CTCTGCCCCTTAATCGTTCTTTTATTTATTTATTTATCAAATTTCTAAACAGCCCACCTCACCTAAGTGACTAGGTGATTTTCAAACAACATTTTATTAATAGCAATAGCACTTATATACCGCTTCACTGTGCTTTATAGCCCTCTCTAAACAGTTTACAGAGTCAGCCTATTGCCCCCAACAATCTGGGTCCTCATTTTACCCACCTCAGAAGGATGGGAGGCTGAGTCAACCTTGAGCCTGGTGAGAGTCGATCTGCCAAACTGCTAGCAGCCAGTGATCAGCGCTGAGATAATGTTCTGGCCTATCTTATTTTACGATGGTCTTACTCTGCAGAATCTTCCCCAAACAGACAGAGATAAATTTGCAACATGCAAATTTCTTGGCTTAATTGTACTACTTATTTATGTCAAGTTTCTTCAACATAGGCTGGTTTTAATACAACTGCTACTGTTAGCACAATGTTTTTGGATGTCTTTTTTTTCTCCAGATATTAAATTGAGGAATATTAATGTTATCAATTTTTAGGATATTTTTCTATATGAAGCAGGACACGTAAATCTGTTTCCAGGGAAATCTGTGAGTGATAGGCATATGCTGCATTGTTATCGCTGGAAAGGTAGGTGTTTGGACAATACAGATCAAGGAATTTTTAAATCACTAGATAGGACTAGATTTCTGAAAATTTCAGAGAATGCCTTAATTCTTCTGAAATCAGTTTGCATTTGTACACTTTGCAAATTCTCAGATCAGCAATTATCTGCCATGAATTCTACAAGCATTTTATTTTATTTTTCAATTTTTTTATTCTACATTCTGTTTGAAAAATAATTCTATGAAACTCAAAAGCTTTTTTCCAAGATCTGCTGTAAACAACAAATTTTATCCCACATGTTCAGGGGCTTGCCATAGGGATGGAGAATCTCATATTTACCTAGTGATTCTTCTAGGCTCCATGAAACTTGGAGAATCACGCCTTCTCTTTCTGATGGGGGAGTAGCTGCGGGAACGTCGTCGGGCACGGGTTGGTTCTGTGTCACTATGACGTGTTCGTGGCTCATTGTCCTTCTCTCTAGTTGTTAAAAAAAACCAACCACATTTAAATGCTACACACACACACACACACACACACACACACACACAC